TATAATTTATGTCACTCTCATTTCCTTCTTTTCTGGGCTCTACCCCCTGTGCCACAAACAGCCTACGCTATAAAAACTAGAAACCAGAGAATGCTGACAATTGGTTTGTTCTTCAGCCTCCACGTGGAGCAACAACAAAGGGCTTTTGACATTTTCTCAAAAAAACATTAGGATGATCAAGCTCAGGTTGCCCCTGACGCAATCTAAGCTTCCCCTTTCCATGCTAACTTAAATACTTTTTTTTTCCCTTTGCAATGAAGATGAAACAGAATCACAAACACACGTCATCACATGCAGACATGGCCTCACCACAAGCTTAAAGTGCAGTCCAATCTATGTTTTCTTTCTTCATAAAAAAAAGAATAGGGACGTGATAATTATTTATTTATTCTTAGCAAAATCATGATATATTTTAAGTTGGTCGTGAATTTTGGGCAGAAGACCAATAAAACAAGTGTGAACTCCAAAGATTCGGCTCCTCTTGGACTTGTTCGTCTCATCTTTTGTTTTTGGCCGCCGTACGGTCCCGTTAGACTTGCTACCCCATTGATCCTTGTTATCATTTTTGTTTTATCTTTGTGTCTTTTGTCTTAAAATCTTTTTCAATGGTGTGTTCTTCTAGCTAGCTTGTGCTCTTTGAGACGTCATATCAGAGGTTAACCATACAAAGTTACTAACTGTTTAGTACTAACTAATTTATCTTAATCTTGATATTTTCATATAATTACAAATAATCTTGCCAATCTAACTTTCGGAGAGTTCGACATTTCGCATGTTTGATTCCATCAAAAATTTAATGTATAATATTACAATTCTAAAGATTTTTTGGGATGTCATATCAGACGTTACTCAACAAAGTTAATAACTTGATATAACAACTTGTTAATCTTGATATTTCATTTTTTTAAGTATAAAATCTCATAATTATCGTCCTCATGTATCGAAAAGTCAACCATTCATATGCTTGTTTCTAACAAAAATGTCATTATGTTATATGATACTTTCCTAGTTACAAAGAGAAAATCGAACCCCTGATTTAACCTAATTCTAACTCATTTCCTCACTTAACTGCTTATATTAACTTCAAGTTCTTATATTACCATCAATCGGATTCTAGTTGAGTAAGTCCAAAAACGTCATTTTACAAGCTTGATGAGTGACGTAAACCCATCCAAGATAATGAAATAGAAAAGGTGTTTAGATATGATATAATAAGATGGCATTAGAAAACAAACACCTCTTATTTAGAATGGCCTGGACATGCTTCATTGTGGAGGGGGCTTTGTAAAAATCGCTGTTCTTAACTTCGGTCATAAATGACGAGGGCAAAATGAAAGGGTCATTAGGGGATTTTCATTGCATGGTTATTCACCCAAAGCAGTGTAAATTGACCTTATTTGGCTAATGAATGTGACATTTTACGCGTTGTTTAACAAGTCACATCACAGGTGAAAAAAAGAATGTTTGCCCCATGATTTTTGTGGCTGTGTTTACTGTGTTTGTCCTTTCAAAACAAAGCTAGTGCTTGCCTTATAACTTCCATGGAATTTTAAGAGAAAATATGGATCCCCTGTTTTTTTTTGATTGGGGCAGAAGAGAAATTGGAACCATCGCCAAAACTAGTATTTAGAAATCTAGTGTTGGTATTTGATGAAAATGCCATTGTACATGTTATTAGTATAAGTTCAAAGTGTAGCCTTTTAGTCTCAATTGGAAACAACTGATCGAGTTAAAGGACCAAATTGAAACTCGGGTATAAATTTAGGGATCACCCATCATCTTAAATTATCCCCCAAATTGCCTTGAATATTATTTTTCATTGGAATTCAGTAAATATAATTATATCCTGTACTGGTAGTAATGGATATGCTGCACCTAAATTAGAGAGAGCTCACTATGTTGTTTAATTAGGCTCCATTTGTTGTTCTCCTTGGGGATCATTTGGTTGCTGATGTACTTGTGTTTTAATGCCATGAAATATTCAATAGAAGGGAACAAGTAGTCCCTTTCTCTACAAAGATGACTTCTATGTTTGTATCTCCTTGGTGCTAGAAGATACGTCAGTGAGTTATAAAATAAACACAAAAAGTTTATAAAATACATGTTTCTGATAAAAGAAATGCAGAAAAAAAGAGATATGTATGACTCATTCAAGCTCACAATTCCTTGTTATTAATTGATATGTTGTTTAAATAATGGCATAGAAGAGAGATATAGGCATCTTTGGCTGGGTCAAATGCAATTGCAGGTCCCTTTCCATTTGGTTAGTGTTAGGCCGAGAGGAAAAAGAAACAAAGAAATGAGAACAAACGGTACGACCATTTCAAACCTGCAATCATTTTTTTGAGAGGATCTTCAGTTCCCTACATATATAAATGCACATCCCAACAGAACCAGATCATCAAAGCAACTGAGCCTACAGCTTCAAGTAAATCACTTGCAAGTACAAAACACAACACGCTAGCAAAGAAAAATATAATCGAAAGAAAAGAGCTATAGATATGGCAAGGAAGAGAAAAGTTAGTGATGGAGTGGAAGACAGGAGTTCAAGTGAGGGAACCATGGCTTGGGATGAGATGGTGAAGGAAGCTTCGGCTGCTGCAGAGCTAGGAGGAGCACGAAGAGCTCGAAAACGCTTTGTCGGTGTCCGCCAAAGACCCTCCGGAAGATGGGTGGCTGAGATTAAGGACACCATTCAAAAGATAAGAGTGTGGTTGGGCACATTTGACACTGCTGAGGAAGCAGCCAGGGCCTATGATGAGGCTGCTTGCTTGCTCCGCGGTGCCAATACTCGAACCAATTTCTGGCCTTGCTCACATTCACCATCTTCAACACCAGCACTTCCCTCAAAGATCACAAACCTTCTCCTGCAGAGGCTCAAAGCAAGAAACAACAGCAGCTCTTGTTCTGCTCCTTCAGCTCCTTTGCCTATCAACTACCATCAAATGCAGCAACATGCTGATCATCAGGAAGAAGAAGCAGGAGCAGATTTCTCAGAAACCCAATACACTGATTTCCTTAATGATCCTGAAGATTACATCACAAGCAACAATCATGACATCATTAGTGCAAGTAGCATTGACTACATGACATCAAGCTTTGAATCTTGCTTGACTGAGAAGGAAGAGTACTCTACTGCAAGAGAAACTGATCAAATGGACTATGGCAATTTGAGTGAAGTGGCACAGACTTACAGTGGCGGGGATGCAAATTTTGTCGGTGAAGGATCAGAGGAAGATATGGATCAAGAAGAAGAAGAAGTCAATGATCAAGTTGGTGTGATTGATTTCCAGTTTGTGGATGATATTGGAGCATCCAACTACTACTCTCCATCTCCTTTTGAGATTGCTGAGGAGATAGAGGAGCCAGTGGAGCCAGAGACCTATGCAGATGAGCCTTCAATGCTAAGAGCAGCCATGAAGAGAATGAAATATGAAAGAAAGTTCTCTGCTTCTCTCTATGCCTTCAATGGCATACCTGAGTGCTTAAAGTTAAAGATTGGATCTTCATCATCATCAGGAAATGCCAAAGGGAGAGGCATATCTGAGTCCTTAAGCAACCTTCAGAGAGCCTGTAACAAGAACAAAGAGGAAGCTGCTGCTGCTGCAAAACAAGAATATCAGGAGGTGGTGATGGGGAAGAAAGAAGAGGAAGAAACCCAACTGAGTTCAATGGATATTTCTCTGAGTAGTGATGGTGAATTGTCACTTTGGAGCTCACTTGATCTGCAACCCATCTGCTTTTTGTCAACTAATTGATGAAAAAGAGAGCCTTTTTAGTTTTTTACTTATAACAAATTCATCCTCTAATTAGTTCCAGATCATCTGGAATTCACCATTATTCCATTCTTTGCAATATTGCTGATCTCCTAATGTATGTCAAAGAAATAGTGAATTGTAATTTGAGCTTTCGGTTGAAAGAAACCACTGAAGTAATAATAAATTGAATTGCTTCTCTTCATAATTTTTTGTGTAACGTTTGTGGTTGAACAAGATGTGTTTTTCAATTGTCATAATGCATGATACATTCAGTATTTTATCAGATCAGAAGGAAGAAGACGTCCGAAGAGAAGACATTACTTGGACAGATGAAGAACAATAACAATATAACAATACCGCCAGAGGCTAAAGACAAACGAGGTCTTGATGTGCTGCATTCAATGCATTATGCATCGGTGTATTGTAGATTTAGTCCTTGAATTAAAAGATTAAATGATTAAAATTCGGTCGTTAATAAGATAATGCACTGATACATTAGATTGCAAATACACATTTATTAGACCAAAGAAATGGAAAAATTGGGGTTTTGTTTGAGTTTATATGTTGGGACACAAGCTAAAAGGAAAACACTTTTTTTTTAATCCGATGATCTTCTACATTCTTCGTTCTGGTTCTTCTTTCTTGTCGAGTAGTCCGATGAATCACATATCGGTCACAAGGAGGTTGTAGCTCAAGTAAAAGTAATTAAGATTAATTATCTCTAGACCCAAAGACCCTCCTTCAATATCGCTTATATAAAAATCAAAAAACCACAAGCACAAGATAGTAGCAACGACCAGACCAGGAACGAAAACAATTTTCAATTAAAGTGGTGGAAGTGGTTCAGCATGCATGTGATTGACAACATCATAAAGTAAGTCCCATCAATGAATTTTGCCTAAATATGAAAAGGAAAATTTGCATTAGATAGAGCATGCTCCAAAGAGAGGTTAGTTCTTTCACACAGATTTGCGTGTTGGTTTAACGAGCAAAATCCAGGACAGAACAGACCACTTCAAAACCAAAACTAAAAACGACCGTGGCCAATGCCAGTGTGGAATACTGGCTCAATACAAGAGCTACAAACCCATATAAAACTGGGGATAAGATGAGAAATAGTAAAAAGTGGCCCAAAGACAGATTAATATATACACGGTACAAGTTATTTTTTTCATTTTTTTTTTCACAAGCATCACGACAGATTCACAAAGGACTTTGTTGGGGAGACTTGGCGCTCTAGCTTTAAAGGACACGAAGTTGTGCAAGGAAAGCAGCACAAAGATCCAAGAAGAGAAACTGGGGGCCCTGAACCCTCTGAAGATCAAGCAGATACTTCTCCTCCCGAGTTTTGAAGAGCTGTTTAAGACCCCAAAACAGCAGTAGAATGTATGTATTAGAATTATGTTCTGGAAAGATACTCGAGACAAGATGATCTGAAAAAGGCAACTATTTTCAATATGCAAACTTGACCAAACAGAATTACATAAAGTAACGGTTACCTGCACTTCAAACTTGACCACATTTGTCGTCTTCATGACACCGTCATTTTCAATGATGCTGGATTCATCGCCAAAATAATGGTTACTGTGCAATGAATTGTCGACCATGCCTTCATGATGACCAGGAGTTCCAGGAACCCACCTACACTTCATGTTGTAGTGCCCTATCTTCTTCCAACAAACCCGCAATTCTTGTAAAGCTTTAAGGACTTCTGTCATTATTTCACGAGGATGCGCTCGAGACTGACAATGAAAGGATCAACAATCATAAAGTGAATGTTTGATGTTCACTCCATTCAACCTACCACTACTGTACATGTCCAGAAGGACCAGCACACTTAGTGAGCTCAAAAAAAATTCCTAGGCGTCACAAGCATTGACTGTTTCAACATACCAACCAATTCGATATGTTTACCCAACTATCTTCTAACACAGCAGAATATATTATCTTTTTATGTCCTATTCCCAAATAATAACATGAAGTCAGAGAAATTTAACCTGAAGCCCAAGAGCCCATTTCCTTTCAACAGGGAACTGTGGTCTGAAACCCATTCCTTGATATTCCATATATCCTGGAAGGCGGTGCCCAACAGGTGAAGCAGCAGCCTCGCTTTGATGCATACGGTTGAAACCACATTCCTGGACCCAAAAAACGAATTTGAAAGAAAAGGAGAAAAAAAAAACTTAAATCCAATTGGTGCCCGATCTTAATACAAATATGCACAGAAAAGAAGAAAATAATGAGCTTGATACAAACAGTTCAAGCATTGAAAACATTTTCCCCAATCATGTTTTGTAAATCTTGGTACAAATTATGTCCATTCACAGATCTATCATATTCCTCAACCACTTTAAGTTGGATATCTCCAGAGTGGATCCTGTTTCAGACGAAGTACAAGTTTCTCCTAGTTTCCTTTTGGCTGGTAAATGGGCCACAACAACTTTTATCTTGTTAGGGTATGGCCGACAGGCTTAGTCTTTGGTTTTCAAAGAGGACAGTTTATTTTCTAACCAAGTTGTTGCTACAACATCAAAAGAGGAGAGAAGAAGGGGGTGGGTGGGGGGGTGGTGGTTGTGGTTGTGGTTGTGGGTGGGGATACATACCACAGTCTCCTGAAACTCAGCTCCAAGATAGCCACTGGATACACGGAAACGGTTGTCCAATAACAAATAGTATGCAACAGTACCCTGAAACATGCAACAGGTAATTAGGCTATTGGAAAATCAGAAGGAGAATAAGGTCCAAAGGAGCAAACCTTATTTTGTACTCTGCCACGAAGGGATTCAACTAAAAGGTTCCTGTCAAATCCCATCTTAACCACCTCCTGAAGAATTTCCTCATCAATCTGCAAAATGCAAGGTGACACATGAAGAACTTATGATAATAGGTGTACACCAGTATATGATGCAGCCAAAACAGAAAAGGATATGCATTAAGCAAGGATCAGCTGATATGTCAAATTTTTGTTGCATAAACTAAATTACACTAACATTTCTCTATTCTATTTAAACACGATGACACATATCACTTTGCACATTGAGGAAAAGCAAAGTAGAACAGACATTATGACTCCAATTCACAAAACCAAAAAGAAAAAACAAACAAACCTTTTTCGCTTGTTGCATTGTGTCTGGTGGAGGAACAGCTAAATAACGAGGAAGATGAGCCTGGAACCATGCATGCTGACGAATCTCAGGGATGGTCATTCTTTTCATTGGATCAACTACAAGCATCCTTGGTATCAAGTCTCTTGCACCAGGTGACAAATGACTAGGAAGAGTGTATATCCCACCCTGTAGAGAAAATGATGTGGGTTTAGGGAAGACAACTAATAATATGAGAGCAGATAACCATTTGATTCATGGTATGCTAAACGTGACTAATATGGACAAAGAACGAAAAAAATAACTGTCAATGGACACAAAAGCCAAAAGCATAAACATACTTGCATCTCAAGAAAATTTGAAACAGAAGGAAAATAATCAGATAAGATTACTTTTATATTAAACAAAGGAACGAGATCTGGAAGTACCTTTATTTTCTTAAACAAGTTGGGAATGTTTTCATCATCAAATGGAAGGGTGCCACAAAGAAGAGCATATAGTATGACTCCGCAACTCCACACATCCACTTCAGGCCCAGCGTACAGTTTGCCAGAAATGACCTACAAAAGATGAAAGAGATGAAACATTGGAGATAGAAATCAAGCCATGATACAAGAATAATGTACTCAAATTTCCTATTTAAAAATTACTAAAAGGCCATCTAACCAGTCTTTATACCTCTGGAGCAGCATAGTTTGGGCTGCCACAACTTGTCTTGAGAAAATGGCCATCACGCATTATGTTGCTCAAACCAAAATCAGCAATCTTCACATTGCATTTGGAATCCAAGAGCAAATTCTCGGGCTTTAGATCTCTATGAACAACCATATTTCTGTGACAATACTCTACGCCCGAGATTATCTGCCTCAGGAAAAAATATTGGCCTTATGTAACTCATATGAGAAGCAAAACTAATGGTAAAAGAAAGAGAACAAGACAATTGCCAAATAACCTGCTGAAAAAAGTTACGAGCTTCATCTTCCTGCAGCCTACCCTTCTCTACTATATAATCAAAGAGCTCCCCGGACTTCACATACTCCATCACAACATAAATGTCTGATGGTGTTTCAATGACCTCATAGAGTCGTATAATGTGAGGATGCATAAACAGTCTCAGTATTTTGATCTCTCTTCTCACTGCACCAAAATTTAAGGGTGAAAAAGGAAGGGAAAAACAAGTAAAGTACAAAGGTTTATACTTTGAATTCAAGACAGAACTGTCTGAAATAGAAAAATACAAGTAATCAAATTCAACCATTGTTCACAAAGAGAGAGGCTGACCTTTCTCTTCCATTTCCATGTTCTTTATCTTGCGCCGGTTGAGGATCTTGATGGCAACTTTATGGCCAGTTAATGCATGCTCTGCAATCTTGACCTTTCCAAAAGAACCAATACCAAGAGTTTTTCCAAGTTTGTAATTGGGTAAATAAGCATCCGCACTGCTGCCCCCACGGCCAACCGATCCATCCATTTTCCTAATCTAAAGGCATGATTATAAATTAAAAAAACTCAGATAAACATGCAAGAGAGTGCAAACACCGATACATTTTGGAAGACGAGATTTACAATTGCACCAGGAATGTTACTATTTAATCTAGACCAGCAGACTTGTCATTCCAAGTATACAAATGTACACTCAAGTGTATACTCAAAACAATAATAAAAAATAAGCGACTTCGATTATTTTCAGAAAAACATAAAGAACATAGAAGTTTGATTATTTGTGGAGCAAATTTATATTGTGAACAACATCGAAATGCTTCTGCCCTTAATCCATCAGACACCGAAAGAGCAAAAAGCTATTTATACTACAATTGCAACTACAAAGTAAAAGTAAGAGAACCCGCTATGGGTGCGTAAGGGACAAAACTCTGTCATAGCAACACCTCAGACAGAACCCCCATCCCCAATTTCCACACATCACTCATGTAAATAAAAAAATAAAAAAAAACTGCATCTTTTAGGAAGATAACAATAAGAGGGAAATACATTAAAAGGAAAAAAGAGAAGTTGAAAAACCCACTTCCAAATCAGAAACAGGAACCCAATTCATATAAATCAGTCAGTAGCTTCAACCAGAAGAAAAATTTCCCAAATTTCCAAACTTAATAGCTTTTTTCCCCAATTTTTCCAATACTTGTCTAATTCCAGATATTCCAATAAACCTAGCTGCAACAGATCCCAGAAACTATCAATAAATTCACATAATTGACAATTAAACAAAACACCCACACAAGCATGCAATTCAACAGAAACAGATAATACAGAGAATGAGAGAGAGAAAGTTACATGAAATTAACTCCGAAATTGAAGTCGCTGATACGAAAGGCGAAAAGGGTCTCTTCGAATTGGATTGTGAATGAGCAGTATCGCAGAGACCCCCAAAAGACCCCTAAAAGGCTAAACTGAAAAATGGAGACGCAGAAGGGCGCCCTGTCGCGTTATTCTTTCTCGCTTCAGACTTTCACAGACTCCGCCACGATCTTCTATTAATCTATTTACTATTTTAATTAATTAATGCTTAAAATTGACAGATTCGCCCATGGCATTTGCTGAAACGACTAAGGAATTCGCTTTCTCAGATGGTTGATTTGGTTTTGTCTGGAGGGGCAAAGTGGGGATTTCGCTTGATTGTTTTGGTTGAAGGCAAATCGGAGGAAAAATTGGGGGCAGTAAATTAGTGAGCTCTGGCTGCCTTTCTCTCGTCATCTGAGCTTCGATTTTCTACTGTTTAGCAATTTTTCTGTCAAAGTTTTAATTTTTTTTTAATATAACAGTTAAAATAAAAATTAAATTAGTTATTAATGAGAAGACAATATATTCTGATTCTGTGAAAGGCACATCCGTTTAAACGGTATTTTATTTTATCCTTTTCAACTGAATATATTCCAATCATTAAATTAATTATTATTATTTATTTAAAAGAAAAACTTAACTTTCCTAGTGATGATTCCTATGAAACCTTATGTTTGGAGCTATTGTAGTGATGATTTCTATGAAACATGATTGACCAGGATGACAGAGTTGATTTGGATCTACTACTAGGCCCTCCATTAAAACGCCTACCAAAAAGGTAGCCTTGTTGGCATTTTTCAGTTCATCTATAAGGCGAGAAGAATTTGCATGTCATGAGAATAGCACTGTTTTGCTATCCCCGTGCCATGCAAGTTTTTCTCCTACGCAAGCTTGGGCAGCAATATGTAAGTGGCTATTACAAAGATTCAAGCCTTGAACCCAAGAAAATAAGATTGTCTTGCTCAACATAATGCGCTAATATGCAAGCATAACAATTTGGCTGCAAGAATATCAAAAACTTCTGTTTAGGCTTTGATTCAATAAAGCTGGATAAACAGTTTAATAACCTACAGGCTGAAGAACAATCCCAGCAGTACTATGAACTATATGTGTGAGCGTGGCGTGCTTCAAACGCAAACAAGTCATTAAATAACAAATAAATAGCAAACAAGTTACATATGGATCGTTCATGTGTTCTATACAACGTGGATTTTACATGAAGATGTCAACTGAAAGTTTCACCATACACATTATTAGTAAAGTTTGAAAACAGAAACACCCTAATAGTCTGGAATGGAGGCGAAACGGTATCCTTTCGCACCTCTCCATGCATAATATGCAATTCGTGTCTCATAAAAGCCTGCAGCCATAAGAATGATATGAAAGCAGTCTGTCAGTCAGTCATCAATCAATCTACTGAAACAATATGGAGTATTTCCATGAGTAAAGAATTAATCCATCGAGATACCCTGTAGCCAGATTCAGGAATATGGTTTAAGATTTAATCCTATGCTCAAATAGTTACATCAAAGAGGAAATCCAACATACGAATGAGGGAATTTAAGGTCATATGAAGTTATCCATCCGAGATTTATATACCATCTCCTCAAATTGAAAGATTTTATTTTCTTCATCTCTAATTGTATGATAAGGCAATTTATAAGACAAATTTCCTATTCTTTGAATTGGTTCATTAGTCTTCAACTCTAAAATAGTCAGTCAGTAATATAACTTTAAGTTGTCACAACAGATAGGTAGAGGTAACGAAAGAAATGGAAATATCTTTTGACATACCTGGGAGGAAGGTGAGAATTCCTAGAGCCAAAAGGCCATAGGCTTGGGACAGATCCCCTCCCATGTGACCAGTGAAAATAAAGTATGAAAGAAACAGAAGCAATGATCCAAGAAAAAGCAGGAATAGAGCAAGGAGTATGGATTTCCATGGGATTTTATCAAAGGACTTCGGAGTATAGGAAAACCGAGGGTCATTTGGTTTTCCATAGACATCATCATTTTCATCAGTAGCAAGAGGGCTGTAATGAACATTGCGCCTAGATGCCATAACCAAAGTGTTCAACAAGACCTGAAGATAAAAAATGAAGCAGACTAAGCAGCGGTAAGCATCAAATAAGTTTTTTTTCTTTTAATAAGATGTACAAGGTTTAACCTTTTCAAAACAATAAAGCAAATGCACAATATGAATGCATATGAGGTGTGAAAAAGTTTAAAATCATACAATTTGTTAACTTCCTCTCACAACTTTATTTAAGGTACCTTAAAAACGGATGACAGGAACTTGACATGCCTGTTTCTTTTTCTCATAATTTGAAAAAAAAAACACGGGTTTCCTTCTCCCAGGATAAAATTGAAGTACAGAAAGGATAAATATAACCAATCACGGATTACCTTAACGGATTGTATACCAATAATGTATATACTCTTTTGAACAAAGAAATAGAACTCTTGATAAATAAGCTCGGGTAACAGCAGAGAATCATCATAGTTATGCAAGAAGAAACAACTTTTTTTGCAGAACAGGAAAAATATCATGTTCCATTATTCATATGAAGAGAAACTTAGAGAACGATGACTTCATGTTCTTAATTATTATATTTCTTCACTCACATCTTTCCCATTTTATTTGTGGAGGTAGCATTCGAAATGAAGGATCAAATTTCAGGTACTTCAATCTGAAAAACCAACCGTATCTCCAATAACAAGTCTACATTGAACTTGTAAGTTATCAAGTTTGGGAGCTAATGATACACAAACATTCACTTAATTATGTCTGTCCAAATAAGCACAGATAAAAAAGATTAAGTTAATTTACAACTTGATAACTTGTACTAGATAACCAATTCAATAAAAGAACAGAAATCCAAAGAAGCACAGACACAAAAACAAAAACAAACAAACCCATTTGAAAAAACAGGACAGAAACATCGTATGAAACATGGGAGAGCCCGAATGGCTCCTAAAAACTAAACCCACAAACTAAAATCACAAGAATTTAACAAATCTACTAACCCAAGACTTGTCCTTTCAACCTCAACCGCGATTGCAATCCGGCCACTTCTCTGCAAATGCTCTAACCAGAGATTGAAATTCAACCCTAGTCGGTGAAAAAACCTCCGACAGTTAACAAAAACGAGGGAGATCAATTGGGTTATGGTCTCTTTGGTTGGCTCAGTAATGGGCAGCGAAGAAGATTCGATGAAGAAGGCAGAAGGGGGACCCGGGTTGGCGGGCTCGGGTGAGCAAAATTAGCAATGGGCTTTGGGTGCCAAGCCCGCACGTTTAAGTGTGTAAAGAAAACATTTTAGTTAACTTATGTAATTGAAATCCGTTAGTTACCTAATTTAATCCTTCTCTCTAGATGTCAATCCCTTATTGGGCTAATGATATATGCAGCATTCAAGTTGAGAATTGCTTCTATATGTGATAATAATTTTGTTTATTAGGTCAAGAAGTTGAGAAAAGGGTTTACCTTAGCTCAAGAAGTGAGAAAAAGATTTGGTATGTATCTCCTTTTCAAATTATGGTATTTCTTCACGTTTTTCTTTTGAATTGCATGCGTGACTTTTTAGCTTCTGATTGATTGTTAACTGCAATTTGATATTCTGGAATTCATCTACAAACTTCTTGTTCAATTTGAATTAAGAAACGGGGCATGGGGGAGATGTGATTGAATTAGAGCCATAATATTTTTCTTGGGGTTTCATCGTTTCAGTTAGTCTTTTTATTTTTTGGGTAATAATTTATAATTAGGGTTTATGTTCACTACGAGTCTTTATCATAGTATAGAGATACCAAAAGTTTTAACTAGGGTTTCGGTGGGAGATCATGTGTGTAGTAGTCCTTGTAGTTATATATAGTGATGTTGTAATTAAGCATATAATAGGAATTCATGGAAATTACAATTAGGGTTCAAGTCTTACCAACCTCTAAGGAAACAATCTCAACCTTCTTTGGTCTTCCTTATCCAAAATCAGTCTCATAAACCCCAAACCGATGGTGAACCGGCAAGCGTAAGCATTCTCTCACTGCTCATAGCAAACAACCTTGAAACCCTTATTCTCTGCCCCATCCAAAACCCCCCTTCTCTCCAAACTCTTCATAGCTTCACTAATTGCATTCACAGCCACAGCCAACCCATCTTCTCCGAACAAAGCCTTTTGTTTCGGCAACTGTTGTACGTCCTGCTATGCAATACCCGAAATAGTTTTATACTATGCTTTTAGAAAAAGGCCTAGCTAACACTGTTTATATAAATAAAAAAAAAAAAAAAAAAAAAAAAAAAAAAAATGAGTAAAATGATAATGTGCTGAAGCTACAATGCATTACTCCTTTTTGCCTTTCTTTTATGTACGTTTGTCTCAAATTAAATATGGATAAAAAGATTTCTGGTCTTTCTTCGTGTTTCCCTTTTTAATTGCATGCATGACTTCTTTTTTTCTTTTTCTTTTTCTTTTTTCACGATGAGACTTGATTTGCTTTGCTTTCCCATTAGAATTACATCAGTGATTAACGTAAATCGATATTTTGAAATTCACTGGCAAAATTTTTGTTCGGTTTGCATTATGTTGGGAAGGGGGGAGATGTGATTGAAATAGAAATAGAGCCCTAATTTTTCTTTTCCTGGGATTTTTGTTATGCTTCCTTTTTGTCTAGGAAGTTTTCATTAAGGGTTTGATGATTCGATGTAGTAAAGAGACGAAAAGTTTCACTGAGTTTCAATTCTTGTTGTCATTTTTCTTTTCCAATTTTAGTGGGTATGATTTTTATGTTGTAATTAATCGTATAATAAACAACAATCAAGACAGGTCAAACCAGATTGGTACAGTGAACACAAACTCTACGGTTTCCGATGGCAATAGACATGAGAGATCGAAGAGTGAGAACTACGGTATGAACTTCAGTTTTTATTTGGTTAATTGAATCTATATATTTATGTTTCAAGGTTGGTATTTGTGATCTATGAGGTAATAGTTATAGATATTGGTCCCATATGGTGTTGCCTGCATTGAATGATTTACGTCAATATAATGTCTGAATTTTAACTTGTGTAGTAATTTATCTTTTAAAAATAAATGATATTTGAATACCTCTAAACTTTTAAACTTGTTGTATTGTACGAATAACTATCAAACTTATATATTGTCTCTTACTAAATAAGTTGGACATATATACAATGCACACATACCCCCTTAATTTTTTAGAGAGTATTTTTCCACTTCCTCCTCCTTCATCCCCCTCACCTCTCTCCTTTCTCTCTTCTCTTCTTTTTCTCTCTTTGACATATTCTCGATTGCGTTGTCTTTCATGATAAGGTGGACCGACATGCCGCGGTTGACAAACTTGACCTCTATACAGAAGACGTAACTGCTCTATATTTAAAAAATTTCAAGCATCAACTAAGGAGGAATTGTCAACTGAACAAGTACGTGAATTCTTGGAAGCTAATGGCCAAGATTTGTCTGGCTCTGATGATACTCTTCTCCGAAGATGGTTAGTCGATCTTTGTTTGAACACTTGATCAGAAATGTATTATGTCATAAGAACCTCCAAATTCCTAGACACAATGATGAGGTAAGTAATTAAGTTTGTTTGTGACTTGCTTAATTTTACAACTTACAATTGTTTGTTGCATTGTAGCCAAGACTTGTTCTATGGGCCATTAGAGAAATGCCTTATTGCCATGAAAATAATTTGGAGTTCACCGGATATTATTGTGAGTGTGCCACTTGCATCTATCGCTCTAAGTATCCACCAAGGAAAGGAGGGCCTATCAAGTACCCTATTAGCATCATGAAGCAACTCAACCCTCATTTCAACCCTGATTTCGACCCTCCTTATGTGGTGAATATCATTCAAATCTCATCCATCTATCCATTCATCCCATATTCTTCACATATGTGTGTGTTGTGTATCTTTTAATGTGTGTGTTTGGTGCAGGAAGATCAAGGCTTCATCGCTCGTTTTTGGTCAAATTTCTTTCAACTACATGTACACGATCCAAGGGTAACATCAACCTAACATCTTTTCTTGCACATATAATTCACATGAATTAATAATTTGGAATTAAATGGGACGGTTGACTATATTAATTGCAAATAAAGATAAATAAAGATATTAATTATTATTTTTATGTTGGTTCATTACAGTTTGCTCGAAGAGTGGGAATCACACTAAATATATATCAAGATGAGGTGAAGATTAATGGCCGGAGGATGAACAAGAGAACTTTCTGGATCTCTGTATATGTAGTGGTTTTTGTGCTAACCTGTTTTTGTTTCTTCATGGTCAAACTTTGTTCCAATCTGTCCACACAATGAAGATCCCAATACTTTTTGTTGAAAGCTTAAAACAAGTTTTCTGTTGCATTTCTTTCTATCATTCTTTAAATAAAAACTAGATCAGATGAGTGAAATACCATTTGTTGTAAATTGGGGATGCACATGCCTTGTAGGGTCGAGGGAGAAATTAGTAATGGACTGATTTGTTTGTGTTTTGCTTAATTAATTATTAATTCAAATTGGTCAAAGTTTAGAGCGTTTGTGGTTGGTGGATTAGAACAATTAATGAGTCAGTTAGTTGATGATTAGTTAGAAGGAATCAAATGACAAGTAGCTAGCAAGGATAATGAGGTGGTGGACATGGGACGTTTGCGTTTGGAAAATGAAGTTGGAGGAGATAGGTCAGTTTGAACCTAAACTTTCAAGAGCATCTTTGGATCTCTTGCAACTTCTACAAGGAATCCAGGCTTTATTTGGTGGGCTGGACTGGACTGGATATTTTCAATTAAAATGGACATGGGTCCTAACCATTGTTTGGTGAGCTTAATAAGTGTGTCTCGGATTGGATATGGACATGAGATCCATGTCCCAAATAACTGTGGCTCCAGAACCCAAGCTTAGATGTGGGTTTAGAATCTGAGTCTTTTCCAGAGAGCTAGCCCGCCTCTTCTCTCTTCTGTCGACGAGCACACCTCTTCTCAAGTTCTTCCTCTTCTCTCTCTTCTCCTCTCTCCTCTCTCTTCCTCTCTTTCTCTATCTTTGTGATTTTCTCCTTTCTATCCTTTTTTTTTGGGTTGAGCCCCCTTTCTTCTTCTCTTCTTCTATTTCTTCTCTAATGCTCCCTCATAGAGAAATATCATACTTGAAACAAATTTATTTTCATAATCTCAATCAGTTACAGTCCTACACTCCTTTTAATCTCAACTCACCTATGAAGCGGATACGGATATGGCTATACAATACGGAAAATATCTAAAAACTAGGATATGATATGGTAATTAAAAATATGGAAAAGTTGATAGAGGTCCAAAAATTCAACCAATAATTGGGTCTAGTCCTCGAATTATTGTTTATTGATACAAGCCCCTTGACTAGTTTGCCATGTAGATTACATTCCATCTTTGACATGTTGATTCAAACTTTTGTATTTAATTGATTTGTATTTTAATTTTTTTGTTTCTATTATATCCCTATTGTCTAAAATGAGTAAGATGAGAATTTATATGCCATTATTTTATTTTTGTTCACCATATGGTAGAGATATAGTATATACTCTTGTAGATAAATTATCCTATGGTGTAGGTATATTGTCATATTGCCTATTGCATAGGTATATATTTGTGTTTTTTTTTATAAATATTTTAGACAATGAATAATAGTATTTTATGTACATTTTTTTATAGGTAACATACAATTTTATTTGTCTATTTTTGTATTTGACTTATAGGTAGTCTTCTAATTTATGTTCCTAACTTATAGGTAGTATTCTAATTTATGTTCATGACTTATAGGTAACACAATTTATCACTAAGCTTTTTTCGTTGCTAATAAGAACACTATTTACATGTATGTTAGGTATATAATTTAATGTGGATGCTTGCCTAATTGATTAGTATAATATGTGGGCCTTTACTTTAATTGATTAATTTGTATTTTACCCATATATTAGGTAAATATTATCAATGAAAGAATTCCAAATTTAAATTCTGAAATTTAATTACAAGTAAATAATTCATTAAATTTAGATTTTCAATGTTTTAATTATCAAAGGGTAAAATCGACACAATAAAAAGAGTAATAAAAGTCAAAGGACCTACATCTAAAACCAAAAACGCGTGGAGTAAACCCAATGACAACTAATCGTTTTGGATATAGATCTAAGAACCCCTTAAAAATATATATTAATAATTTAATATATAGTTATCAAAATATTTCTAACATAAAAATAAGATAACGATACAGTAGAAGAAGAAGAAGTGTTGAAGTATGATCGTGCAAAGTAGACCTACGGCTGGCAAAGTCTTCGAATTTTTCAACCAGCAACAATAAAGCTTATCCGTGCTGAAACAAACCACAAGAAAAATATAGTAACCATCGCTGATCACTGCAATTAGAAGAAAAGGACCCCCACAAATGACATAATGCAGGACATGAGAGTTGCAGACGCGATGGCGGCCATTGCAACTGCAGCATCATTCTTCTGCTCCTTCTGGTCACCAGATTGAGGTTAGCTTGCTGGTTCCAAGACCTTGATGATAATCTTCTGGCCTCTCTCGCAGTGCACAGAAACCCCACTAATGAAATAGAACAAACCAGGCCGGTCCAATGTGAACACGGTCACACCATTGTTGGAGAAGAAGATGGGATGAGCAGAATGGCATTTTTCGTACTCGTCCTTGGTCACCACCATCACCGAGTCTTTGGTACGTAGTTGAAATCTAATTCCATGAAAAACAATATCTATTAAAATAAATAAATAAATAAATAAAAGAGTCCCGCCTAGGCTGCCGCCTAGCGCTTAGCTCCTGGGCGCCCACCGCCGAGGCCGATTTTTCGAAAATGACTATCTAGTAGTTCAGGGCAAGGCATCGAAGAGTTTAAGAATGAGTCCATGAAAAACAACATCTCTGAAAAAAAAGACCCGCCTAGGGCCTAGGCGCCCGCCTAGCTCCTAGTTGCCCGCCTAGCTCCTGGGCGCCCACCGCCTAGGCCGATTTTTCGAAAATGACTATCTAGTAGGAGCTCAGGGCAAGGCATCAAAGAGTTGAAGAATGAGATTATATTGATCTCCGAACTCCAACACAAGAATCTTGTAAAGCTCAACAAAAGTTTGGATATGATATTATTGGGTTAGTTTCACTGGCCCTTTATGTTTGGCTGCAATTTCTCATTGTCACCTAATCTTTCTTCAGTATCATTGATAATGTCTGAGTTCTTCCTATCCTAGTATGCCGAACTCAGGGGACTTTCATTTCTAATGGCAATGGGTGCATTGATTAGATCCAATGAGAAGAGCAGTGTTTGATTGGGCTAAACGCTTCAATATTATTCAAGGTTGCTAGAGGACTTGTTTATCTCCCCCATGATTCCTGTTTGAAGGTAAGTAATATTCTGTTGGATGAGAAGATGAGCCCAAAAATTTCAGATTTTGGATTGGCGCGTATCTTTCAAGGGACGCAGAATCTAGCAAACCCTCAGAAGGTTGTGGGTTGATTCTCGATGATAATGTGCAGCAGGGAACAAAGTATTTCTCTTATTATGTATTTGACAAAACTCTGATATATGGATATCTCTTTAGATGGTAGACTTATGTATTCCGATCGAACATGGTGAGAACTGGAATCTTAACTGGCAGGCCCAAAAGAATCCATGTGACCATTATGGAACACGTGGACTTTTTTGGGGTTTGCAGAACTTCTGAATCTCCAATCTGCAAGTGTTTGAAAGGGTCTGTACCTAAGTCACATGAGGAATGGAGCAAAGGAAACAGGACAGCAGGGTGTGTGAGGAAAACAAAATTGTTTTGTGAGAGTAGTACACAAGTAAGTCAGTCACTTCGAGCGGAAAACGAGCTGGGTTTTCGAAGATGGTACGGTTGAAACTACCATGAATATATCATGTCTTCGAATGCTGAAGAGTGCATGATACAATGCCTAAATAATTGTTCTTGCTTGGCTTATGCATATGTTAATAATATAGGGTGTTTGGTCTGGTCCAAAGACCTTATATACAGGAGTTTTCCTCTGGCGGAGTAGATCATTTTATTCTCCTAGACAGTACAGAAAGAGGTAAATGATAATAATATTGCTTGCAGAGCTTTAGGTATAAATATATTTTCTTTCCCTTTCTGTCTCACTGTTTGCGTTACAAATTCATTTTTTCAGATGAAGGAAATCGAACCAAGTTAATTGTCAGCCTGATTACAGCTATTGGTTTAGTATCTTGGGTGCCAAAAGGGATGCAATTCATTTGTGTAAGATAATGAAGAAATTTTGAAGGTTTTATCTGACTCAGTATTTGATTGTTATATTTGCCAAATCAGGAAAAGTCAAAGTAACAACGAAGTTCTTTAAATTGACTGATACTATTGAGATTTCAAGAGACAGTCTTCAGGGATATATTAGAAACGTAGCCTCCAATGATCATGTATGGTAGGAGATGAGTCCTTGTATCCTAAAATTTAGGATCCTAGTTTTTTGGCAATATATGTCATGTATATGAGCATGCTTTTGCTCAGTTTTCAATATAGAGAAATACTGAACATTCTCATACCCTCTGAGTTTTTTTTCCTTCCTCTACATAAACGTTTTTATACCAAAATCAACATATTTGTCCGTTGACACCAACGATGTCAATGATCTGTTTGAAATTTCCCATAGAAATTATTCACTGAAGAAAAGGAAGGTGGTGGACATATGTTTTATGCTTGTTAAGCGGCATCAGAACAAAACAAAAGAATGATCATGCTTGGTTTCTTGATAGTGGCTATAATTAATATTAAAATACTAATTATTCACTAAATAAATCATAATTAAAGTAATAAAACAAGACTAAGATATTACTTAATTTCATAATAAATACTAATTAATTATATTTATTTATCTCAAACAATTTTTGGACTTTAAAATTATTTTCAATTTCTGAAATTATTTCAAAATATGGTTTCAACTATTTAAAAATGATAGAAAATTATTTTAGTATTCCAAACCCTAAATCCAAGTCTCGAACCAAAAACCCTAGCTTCCGAGAGTTATCTTGTTTATGTTTTGTACTAAGATGGATGCAAATAATATGTTCAAGAGTTAAAACAAATATGTCCCCAAAAAAATGATAAAATAATAAAATAATAAAATAATAAAATAATAAAAATTCAATAGAGAAATATCATACTTGAAACAAATTTATTTTCATAATCTCAATCAGTTCTACACTCCTTTTAATCTCAACTCACCTCTGAAGTGGATACGGATACGGCGATACAATACGAAAAGAAATACAAAAAATATCCAAAAACTAGGATATGATATGGTAATTAAAAATATATATATTAAAAATTTAATATATAGTTATCAAAATATTTATAACATAAAAATAAGATAAAGATACAGTAGTAGAAGAAGAAGTGTTGGAGTATGATCGTGCAAAGTAGACCTACGGCTGGCAAACTCTTCGAATTTTTCAACCAGCAACAACTAAAGCTTACCTCCTCTTTATTTTCCCTCTTAAAACCTCTAATACGAGTATCCGACTCGTGTCCAGAATGTCGGATACACGTGTCCGTGCATCAAAGACTGGTTGACAACTCGTATCATAGCATATCCGACACGGGATTCAGATCTAAATCGGAGTATCCGTGCTGAAACAAACCACAAGAAAATTATAGTAACCATTGCTGATCACTGCAATTAGAAGAAAAGGACCCCCACAAATTTGATATAATGCAGGACATGAGAGTTGCAGAAGTGATGGCGGCCATTGCAACTGCAGCATCATTCTTCTGCTCGTTCTGGTCACCAGATTGAGGTGGGCCTGCTGGTTCCAAGACCTTGATGATCATCTTCTGGCCTCTCTTGCAGTGCCCAGAAACCCCACTAATGAAATAGAACAAACCAAGCCGGTCCAATGTGAACACGGTCACACCATTGTTGGAGAAGAAGATGGGCTGAGCAGAATGGCATTTTTCGTACTCGTCCTTGGTCACAACCATCACCGAGTCTTTGGTAGTTGAAATCTAAGTCCATGAAAAACAATATCTATAAAAATTAAAAATAAATAAAAGAGTCCCGCCTAGGCAGCCGCCTAGCGCCTAGGCGCCCGCCTAGCTCCTCGGCACCCACCGCCTAGGCCGATTTTCCGAAAATGACTATCTAGTAGCTCAGGACAAGGCATCGAAGAGTTGAAGAATGAGTCCATGAAAAACAGCATATATAAAAGAGAAGACCCGCCTAGCTCCTGGACGCCCACCGCCTAGGCCGATTTTTCGAAAATGACTATCTTGCAGTAGCTCAGGGCAAGGCATCGAAGAGTTGAAGAATGAGTCCATGAAAAACAATATCTATGAAAAATATAGTAACCATCCATCGCTGATCACTGCAATTAGAAGAAAAGGACCCCCACAAATGACATAATGCAGGACATGAGAGTTGCAGAAGTGATGGCGGCCATTGCAACTGCAGCATCATTCTTCTGCTCGTTCTGGTCACCAGATTGAGGTGGGCCTGCTGGTTCCAAGACCTTGATGATCATCTTCTGGCCTCTCTTGCAGTGCCCAGAAACCCCACTAATGAAATAGAACAAACCAGGCCGGTCCAATGTGAACACGGTCACACCATTGTTGGAGAAGAAGATGGGCTGAGCAGAATGGCATTTTTCGTACTCGTCCTTGGTCACCACCATCACCGAGTCTTTGGTAGTTGAAATCTAAGTCCATGAAAAACAATATCTATAAAAATTAAAAATAAATAAAAGAGTCCCGCCTAGGCAGCCGCCTAGCGCCTAGGCGCCCGCCTAGCTCCTCGGCACCCACCGCCTAGGCCGATTTTCCGAAAATGACTATCTAGTAGCTCAGGGCAAGGCATCGAAGAGTTGAAGAATGAGTCCATGAAAAACAACATATATAAAAGAAAAGACCCGCCTAGGCTGCCGCCTAGCTCCTGGGCACCCACCGCCTAGGCCGATTTTTCGAAAATGACTATCTTGCAGTAGCTCAGGGCAAGGCATCGAAGAGTTGAAGATTGAGATTCTGTTGATCTCCAAACTCCAACACAAGAATCTTGTAAAGCTCAACAAAAGCCTGGATATGATATCGATATTATTGGGTTAGTTTCACTGGCCCTTTATGTTTGGCCAAGTTTCTCATTGTCGCCTAATCTTTCTTCAGTATCATTGATAATGTCTGAGTTCTTCCTATCCTAGTATGCGGAACTCAGGGGGACTACTGAAGGTTTTATCTGACTCAGTATTTGATTGTTATATTTGCCAAATCAGGAAAAGTCAAAATAACAACAAAGTTCTTGAAATTGACTGATACTACTGGAACTTCAAGTGACACTCTTCATCTATAATTTTGACAGCATATTAATCGCTACGAACAATTTCAGTATCACAAACAAACTCAGGGAAGGGGGCGGATTTGGTCCAGTTTACAAGGTGAGTTTTTATTTTGCCTTTTCTCTTTCTAAAGGAAAATATTGTATCACAACAGCTACAATTCTATACAACTACAAGATAAGGACATGAATGCAGTGATTGATTTGTACGTAGGGTCTACAAGAAGGGAAGGAAATAGCAGTAAAGACCATCCGGTAACTCAGGGCAAGGCATAGAAAAGTTGAAGAATGAGATTCTGTTGATCTCCAAGCTCCGACATAAAAATCTTGCTTGGATCATGGGCTGCTGCGTCAAAGAAGATGAGAAGTTACTGATTTATGAGTTAATGCCAAACAGATGAATTCACTCATCTATTTGGTTAGTTTCACTGGACTTTATCTTTGTAATTTGCCTACTTTACTTAAAGCCACAAATGAATTCACTTGAACTAAATGTTCAGGGCACAAGGAATCAAAATTATTTTCGATTGATACACATAATCACTGAATTATTTTCAATACACAAACAGTCAAGCAAGACATCCTGCAGATTTAATGCTCAGAACTGTAAACTGAATTGTATAATGCATTAGAAGGTAAAAATCTAGTGACAGTCAACGTTTTCATTGTACAATGCATGGGATATGTGAATGAAACTATTGGTTATATTTCGAATGTTTGCATTTATAAGATCCAGCAAGGAGACCTGAGCTTGATTGGGGCAGACGCTTCAATATTATTCAGGGTATTGCTAGAGGGCTTCTTTATCCCCACCATGATTCGTATTTGAAAGGTATTACATAGAGAGTTGAAGGTCAGTAACATTCTCTTGGATGAGAACATGAACCCCAAAATTTCAGATTTTGGATTGGCACGTATCGTTCAAGGGACACAGCATCTAACAAATACTCAGAAGGTTGTGGGAACACTGTAAGCATCATTCCTTTTCCTATTCTTGGAAGAACATCACAACTCAGATTTCAATGTTAATCATATTGTCATTCATATCAGTATATTAGTGAATTTAATTATCTGGAAGCAGAGATAACATGTAGGAAATCTAGCTGTTCCATTCATTTTATTTAGATCCTAGTGTACAACATCTGCTTAATTGCTTCTCTTTAATTAAGGTTTGAAGCTTTTTCATTGTTTATTTTTCACTGTGTGCTTTCTGTTTTCTTTTTCTTTTGGGACCTTTTAATATTCTGCTACTTTTGGGAAACTTTTGTTAATTTCCCTTTTGTTTTTTAGGGTTTCTAGGAATATTTAAACTATTTTTAGTCTGTAGGTAGGGCATTATGTTATCTTTATGAATTCATAAAAACGAGAAGTTTTCTCATATCTGGTGGATTCCAGACTTGGTTCTCTTAGATTAATCGTTTGATTGCCTTGTTGCGTTGCCACGATCACATAGTTGGTGTGACAATTTTATTCATGTCCATTGTCAAGCTCATATCATTTATATGTGCAGAAAGAATTAATCTATAACAAAAAATACTCCAAACAGTGAAAAGAAAAACAGTAGGAAAGGTAGTCAACATTGCTGTTCAACTTTACACGTGAAGGCCAATGGATGAAAGTGCAACTTTAGCCACTGTAAGTGTTTCATCAACTCTTATAAAAAATTTCTTAATGTTTAAGAGACGGCACTTGACTTGCCTATATAAAATGGAAACTCTAGAGTTGGTTTTGTTTTTTAAATTTCGGGTTCAATATATACTTCTTCTTCTTCTTCAAGTGCATGATGAAGTTATTTAGTGGGTTGTTGTTTTGTTTTCTGGGTGAGGAGGACGAGAGCATGGATTTGATCAATGAGTTGCCGGATTGCATCTTGAATTCAACATGCCAAACGTTTTCGGAATCAGCATTGATGACGATGCTTACTGTGATGACGACAACCTGATTGCTGATAAATATAATATTTTAACCGTATAGCCAAACGGCCATACTCCAAAATAGAATATTTTATAAGTATTGCCGCTCGGCTATACCTTGTAAATAGAAAACTAAGAAATGCCCACATGTCTATGCGGGCAAATATTTGTCGAATTAAAAGAGTACAGCCGAGCAGCTATACCATTTAAATATAATATTTAAATGGTATAGCCGCGCGGCTATAATATTTATTAGAAAAAAAATCTAAAAAAAGGGCCAAAAAGGGCCAAAAAGGCTAATACAAGCTTTACATTTCCCTCGCTGCCTGGCTCCCTTCACCGAATCACTTCCCATCAAAGTCTTCAAGTTCAAGGCCGAAAAAGAGGTGGGCAATTCCTCATTTGAGCTCTCATGGCTCCTCCCAAGAAATAAAAGAAAAGCAAGAAAGATAAGGAATTGAAGAAAAATTTGAGCTTGGTTCCAGTCGAGCCTAAACCCGCAGACTCTGACTAGTGGGATAGTTTCTTCAACCCAAGGTTTTTCTTTTCACTAAGCTCAGTCTCCAATTACTCTGCTTCCTGCTTTTTAGTTGAATGCATTCAGATTACTTGTAGTTTTAACTAAATTATCTTTGTATTTTGTTTATTTTGGAAAATCTATGATGCACAGACATCTAGAACAGGTGGTGGATTTTGTTCTGTAATGTTAAATTCTGTAATGATGGTCATAATTAGAGCTCAAAACCTATAAACTGTGCTTTTGTTCAGTTAGGCTGTTGGAAAAATGGGCCTAAGCGCTAGGCGGGTCTAGGCGGGTCCTTTTTTTTCTTTTTTTTTTTTTCTGACTTTAGCTCAATTATGAAATCACTTCAATTTCTGACGGCCGCTATACGAAAATTGGCTTTTGATTATGTGTTTTGCATCCTGAAAAGAGAAAGATGTGGTTGAAAAGTTATTACTAGAGGGAGCAATAGAGATTTTAGCCTGTAAAAGTAGTATGTAATTGTTAAGAATCTGGTTTGGCCTAAGTTGGATGAGAAGTTGGAAATCCTGACTGAATCAGACTTAGGGAATATACAGACACAGAAACACATAGTCGGGCCTTGCTTGTTGTCATAGACTATGAAGCCGCAATTCACCTTTGGAGGGTTGACAAGTTTGACTTTGTTGTCTGCATGAGTGTTTATATCGGCGTCGTTTTTGGCAGCGTTGAAATTGGACTAGTCTTAGCGGTACGTATCATTATTGTGTGTGATGGTAAGACTTTATCTAACGACTAAAACTATGCATTAGAACTAATATTTCTTTTTTCTTCTGTGTAGGTTGCAATATCTGTGATCAGGGTACTTTCGTTTGTGGCAAGGCCAAGGACTTTTGTTCAAGGAAACCTTCCGAATTCCATGGTTTGCAGAAATGTTGAGCAGTATCCCAATGCAAGCAATGTTCCTGGAATTCTCATACTTGAGATTGAAGCTCCCATTTACTTTGCAAATACCAACTACTTAAGAGAAAGGTACTAATTAATTAAACCTGAGTAAGAACTAAAGATTTGGGGGTTAATATAGATAATAGTAAGTACAGGGACTAAGGTTTTGTTGAGTTGTTCTTGAGGTATATGTACTATCTTTTTGTTTTCTGGTCATGTTTATGTTCTAGTGAGCCAGAAGTAAAGATTTGGGGCTTAAGATAGATAAGTGGCGTATCTATGGGACTGGGAAAGAGACATCCCACTTTGTTTGAGAAGGTTTGAATCAGACATTTGATTTTTAGGATGATTCCACAAATTTTCATCTAACTAGTGTAGTGCTTCAAGTTACCAGTCGCTTCTAACCAAGGTGCTTTCCGATAGTGCCACCATACTCATTAAACATAGAGACCTTTGTGTGTCATCCGTTTGATTCTAATAATTTCCAAGTGTTAAGTTGGTTAACTGGCCTAGCGTTTGAGCCATCAATTACTGAAATAGTCTCATGATGAAAGAATTGATTGCGTTCTCATGATTATTTGTGATCATAGAAACTGCTTTCCAGAAATCCTTTAATCTTCTCTAATGTATTTTGTTTCATTTGTAGGCACACAGGTTGGAGAGGATTTGTTGAAGGCATCGTTGTAGTTGGGACTTGAATCCCATATTTTGAAAGTTATTCATTTGTAGTAATTTGCCAAGAGGAAGCTGACTCAGTGAGTATTCTGGAGTCTGACTCGGATGATGACTTTATCAGTATACATGGAGGTATTGGCCATCAGCCTGTAACTACATATTACAGAATGAAAGCCTTGTGGTGTTGTTTGATTGAATGTAGTAATTTTTCTTGAGCTACTTATTGGAAAAGGATTTTGTTTTGTTTTCTTAATTTTCTTCTCTTATTCTACAGATGGTTTTCCATTAGCAAGCAATCCAGTTGGGAATATCTCAAGTGGCCAAGTACTTCAGTACGAAAGATCTGCTCGCTTTGTTGATAATTGGTGTAAGTATGAAGAATACAAAAACTATATGAAAATAGATTGAGGTAAATCAGATAAAATCACAAGCAAAGATGAGCGCAGGGATTCAAATCGGTTTTCGCTTATTAGTACCCAGGGCTATGAGCTTTCATGCTTAGGGAAGGCTGTTGAAGTTTGCAGTAAGAGGAAGAATATATTAGATCACTCTTATGGAAGCTTTAAAGGACTTATAGAGGATGGACATGATTCTAATGAAAAAATTCAAGACAATGCCCTGAAATCCGGCTTATCTAGATTGGTACCTTCTGTAAGTTTCAACGATAAGATTCTAAGTGCACAGAGTTTGGTTCTGCAGTCCCAGAGAAAGCCATCAGCCGTTTTCAGACTTTCTTTTAAAAGGAGATCCAGTGATGCAGAAGAAACCATTGAACAATGTAAGTATTCAAATAATTCAATTTTCTTTGAATAGAAAGAAAACTTAGAATATTGGGATTGATGTACTTGTATATTACTGAACATTTCAATGATATATCCAGAGGTCAATCAAAAAGGTTTCTGTTTCAGCCTAGACCAGGATATATCATTCCATGTTGTAAAGTAGAGAAGCCGACTACAGGATCTTGGTCTGAGATTCCACCCTCAACTTTTAAACTCCGTGGCGAGAACTATTTCAAGTATGACTTTGGTTTTTTCTTTTATCAAAACCAACCTTAACTGAATTTAGACTTTTGCAACTAATTACTCTGTTCTGCCTTGCTAATGATAATATTATTTTCTATTGGTCTACCATCCAGAGATAACGAAAGTCAACTGCTCCGAACTACAGTCCATATACTCCAATAGGTGTTGATGTGTTTGTATGCCCCAAAAAGATACATCACATTGCCCAGCATCTTGAGCTTCTCAAAGTGAAAGGAAATGGGAAAGTGTTCATTGTAAACATACATGTATTTTTTCAGAATTGATTTATCTTGTTATGTTTTGTATGTTATGTTTTGGCAATATCTAATGATATTACTCTATGTCTTGTTGCAGTTGCCTACTTATCCTGCTGCCATGTTTCTTGGTGATAGTGATGGAGAGGGGATGAGTCTTGTAATGTATTTCAAGGTTTCTGAAAATTTTGATAAAGACATCTCTCCTCTATTCCAAGACAGCATCAAGGTCACTTCATTTTGTATGCAACTTCATCCATTTGGATAGGCGTGTACTTTATTCTGATGTACTCTCCCTGATGGAAATGTGATCTTATGTTCTATTGGAACACTCAGTCTGTTGATATATTTGAATGATGCTTTTAGAATATGGTTGACAATGAGACAGAAAAAGTTAAAGGATTTGCAAAGGACTCCACTGTACCTTTTAGAGAAAGACTAAAGATCTTGGCTGAGGTGGTAAATCATGAGGATCTCAATCAGAGTTCTGCTGACAAGAAGCTTGTACATGCATATAATGACAAACCAGTTCTTTCACGCCCCCAGCACAATTTTTACAAGGTAAACATTGAACATTTATGTTGCCGAGTGTTAAGATGATGAAACAAAAAAACCAAGTTGTTTGACTTTATCAAGCTCTCTCACATGCAGGGTCCTAACTACTTTGAGATTGATCTGTACATTCATCGCTTCAGCTACGTATCAAATAAGGGTCTCGAATTGGTTCAAGGTTGGGGGGTGGGGGGAAAACAAGGAATAGCCGCACGGCTGTACTCTTAAAATATTCTATTTATAGAGTATAGCCGCACGGCTATACCATTAAAATATCTATTTTAAAATATTCTGTTTATGGAGAATAGCCGCTCGGCTATACCTTTAAAATATTCTTTTTATAGAGAACAGTCGCGTGGCTCTACCTTTAAAATATTATTTTTATGTAGTAAAGCCGCTCGGCGATACTCTCTTTTAAAATATTCTATTTATGGAGTATAGCCGCGCGGCGATACGCTTTAAATATAACAATAAAAATATGGATTTCTCTGTAGCAAAACTAAGCCTTGAGATAATGAATTAATTAGACATGGTATGTATTTACATTCTAGCTTTGTTCCTCTATGTGCGCTTAGGGTTGAGAGAAAATTTATGCATTGTTTTTGTGTTGCATGTGTATGAGAAGTGATATAATGACATTGCTTATCTTTTTAGGTGCCCTTTGTCATATTTTCTAAATATATTCGAATATTTAAACAATATAGCAGTGCATTTATATTCGAATATTATGTTTTTAATATTATTTCATATAGAAAAATAAAAAATAAAGTCCACAAAATAATTAATTACTATTTATTAATTTATGAAATCATTTATTTAAATATTCACTAAAGAAATAATAATAATATAAATTACTAATTAAAGTAATTAAAAAAAGGCTAAGATTAATGACGTATATTAAATTAAAGAAGTTGCCCAAAAATTAAAAGTAAAGAAACTAATTTTATATTTTAAAAATAATAAATAAATAAAGAGCAAGAATTTCGTCGGCACAAGTCTATGTTGACAACTATTTGCCGGAGTAGACCTCTCCCGACAAAAGTGTCCTTTACCGACAAAATTTCGTCGGAAGAGGTCTAATTCGGCTAAATTACGCTGGGATAGATCTTGGCCGACAAAACTTCGTTAGAAGATGTTTTTTTAAATAATAAGTATAAACTTAGTATCTTTAGGTCCATAAATTCATATTTTAAATTTTCTTTTTAGTAATTCAATGAAATCTTAGCCTTATTTAATTACTTTCATTAGAAATTATGTTTTAATTATTATTTATTTTGTGAATAATTAGTATTAAATATTTTAATTAACTTCATAAATATATTACTTAATAAATAGTAATTGGTTTTTTATTTTTTTTCTTTAATAAAATACTTAAATACTAATTATTCACTAAGTAAATAATAATTAAAACATAACTACTAAATAAAGTAATTAAAAAAGAGAAATTCATATTATATTTCAAGGGTATAGCTGTCCAGCTATACATTTAAAATATTATGTTTATGGAGCCTTACCAAAACAAATTTATGTCTGGACAGCTAAATTGAATCAATAAACTTGTGATCATGAAAATAATCTAGTAATTCGTTGACTCACTTGAGAAGTTATTTTATTGCTTGTGTACATATCCACATGACATGTTGATGTGATTTATCAAAATTTTCTCAAATTATTAGAATTCATGCACAATAGTTATAAAATCCAAATTTTACACAGAAAGAAGGAACAATAAGAGAAAAAATGGTAGCCAAAGGTGGTTCATATGGTAGATCCAAAGATTCCTAGGAAGATGAATCCATTCTCTTAGAAAGGTTTGAAATGTACTTGTAATAACAACTAAACTTGGAACATTTAAAAGAATAAGTTATGATGATAGAGTCCAAACAGAGATGTGAGGCCACTGTGGGTACAGCCAGTTTGCAGGAATTTACAACCATGAAGAGAGAAATCATTGTTCATATATAGATCTCTGAACATTGGCATGACCCAAAAGGTTTTCTCAGTGCTAACACTAACACATGTAGAGAAATCGTCCTTGTCCTTGAGGATTCATAGACAGAGTCCATCAAACATAAGAAAAAAGACTCGAAGGATTCTGGCAAGAAAATCAAAACAAGGCATGCCGCGCTGACTAATGCTACGGCATACCAGTTACTATTAACTTTTTTTACTCAGATTCTTGTCGGCAAGTACGGGTCTCGCCCAGTCAAGGTGCATAACACTCCGTTTCCAATTTGAACTATTTTCTCCAGATGTCAATTACTTATTGGGTTGTTGGCATAGACAGCATACCCGTTACAAGTAGGAATTGCTTCTCTATATATGAATATGATACTACTTTTTTGTTACCCGTTACATTTGAAGAATAAACGACTGCCAAGACAGCTCAAACCATATTAGTGAACACAAACTCTACTGTTTCCGATGGCATTAGACATGAGAGATGGAAGAGCAAGAACTACGGTATGAACTCCGATTTTTATTTTCTTTTTTCATATGATTAATTGAATCCATATATATTTGTTTCAAGGTTGTTATTTGTGATCTTATATACGAGGTAAAGTTCATGGTTTAGATATTGGTCTCATACGGTCTTGGCCTTTGCATTGAATTGTTACGATTTTGGCTATCGTTGAATGATTTAGGTCAATATATGTATATAACGTCTGAATTTTAACATCAAACTTGTCTTAAAAAACTCTAAACCCTACTAAATCTTTCTATTTCTCTCTTTGATGTTCTCTCGTTGTTTCTCACAATCAGGTGAATCGACATGCCGTGATTGACAAACTTGACCTCTATAAAGAAGACATAGCTGTTAGATTTAAGGAATTTCAAGCATCAGTCAAGACAGCACTATCAACGGAACAAATACGTAAATTCTTAGAAGCTAACGGCCAAGACTTGTCTGGCTCTAATGATGCTCTTCTCCGAAGATGGTTAGTCGATTTTTAATTCCTAGACACGATGATGAAGTAACTAAGTTTCTTTGGTTGGTCGATTTCACAACTTATAATTGTTTGTTGCAGCCAAGACTTGTTGTTCTATGGGCCATTAGGGAAATGCCCAGTTTGCAATGGCAATAATTTGAAGTTCAATGGATATTATTGTGAGTGTGCCACTTGCATCTATCGCTCAAGGTATCCACCAAGGAAACGAGGGCCCATCAAGTACCCTATTAGCATCATCAAGCAAATCAACCCTCATTTCAACCCTCATTTCGACCCTCCTTATGTGGTGAATATACTTCAAGTCTCATCCATATATTCATTCCCTATTCTTCACATTTGATTATATGTCTGATCAAATTATGAGTTCCCTCTGTGTGGTGTTTATATATATAACTTTGTGTGTGTGTGTGTGTGTGTTTTGGTGCAGGAAGATCAAGCGTTCTTCGGCCGTTTATGGCCTGAATTTATTCCCCAACATGATCCATATCGCCCGGTGGGTATAACATACTCTAACATCTTTGCTTGCATATGTAATCCACCTGAATTAATAATTTGGAATGATATGAGATGATTTATTATTTATATGTTGGTTCATTGCAGGTGGGTAACCGAGTGGAAATGACACTAACTACATATCAAAACGAGGTGGAGATCAATGGCTGGAGGATGAAGAAGAAAACTTTTTGGATCTATGTAATGGTAATTGTGCTAACGGGTTTCTTTATGGTCAAACTTTGGTCCAAATTGTCCACAGAATGAAGATATCCTAAAAAAACCTTGGGATTGAATTGAACACTTCTTGTTTTTGGGTAAAATGAATTGAACACTTTTTGAGCATTGTATATACATATTAGATTGGGGGAAGTAGCAACATTTTCAAGTTTCATTTTGGATTTTGAAGACATTTGTTTCGTATTGGGGTGTGTGTGAGTTGATTACTCTAGTGAATGGAGGTTTCATTGGGGAGTTATGAAATTCTGATTTCATCTTGTATTTCATTATCTCAAGAAAAGCAAAACTTGATCTTTTACCAAAGTTGAAAGCAGTTTGCGATTTAGTTATGATATTCCAAGATGTAAGGGGCGACTTTTCTTCTTGGGCCATTATATAGAACATAGAGGTGAAGTGATTTTGGCAGCGCGGAGATATCAAGGCTCAGAAAAAGCACTTGCACGCTTGAAGATGGAATTAGGTAAAACCCAGAAAGATAAATAAACTTGCACACAAAAAAATGGAAAACGACATGTCGTTTCAGCGTCTTGCTCTAATCACGTCATGTCACGTCAGATGCAAAAATATTGACTCCAAGGAGTTTCAAACCCTTGGCCTCTTTAGAGCACTTCCACCATGGCAAGGGGAGCCCTAGGGCGGGTACTATTCACTTGAATAGTGGCTGTCCTAGCACAAAAAAAAATTGTGTTTCCAGCAATGCAAGGCTTGCTATGGCAAATACTATTCATTTTTTTGTTTTTTTCACAACTTTGTTTACTTAAACAATTAATTTGGATAATATTTTCGGATAAGATTTTTGGGTTAAAAGTCAGTGTTGGTTGGTATTTATAGAAAAAAAAATTCAGTATTTTTTTCGTATTTTTTTAAATTTTTTCCGATTTTTTTTCCTTTTTTTATTGGGTAAAAAATTGCATGCCGTTGGATTGCTGGAAAAAACTAATCGGAGAGCCCAGGAGCTTCCACGTGGCATAAAGCTGTTGGGGGTTGCTTTTTGGATTTTTTTATTCGCGAAAAAATGGCTGCCGTTGGATAATTTTAAAAAGCAAATCGGATGGCCCAGCATGTGACACGTGGAATCATGCCGTTGGGCGGCTACTGTAGCGCGCGTCAAATTTTTTTAAACCGGGCGCGTGCATTGCACGCGCCAGCTTTAAAAAAATTTTAACAGCAGCGCTGACGTCACCCCAAAACTCGTTTTGTTGCTTGGGCTGGACCTCCCCAAGGGCTAGCCCAGGCAAATTTTTTTGCTAGGGCCCACACCTTGCCTTGGCAGCTTTGTGTTGCTGGAAACAACATTTTCCCCCAACCCTCCCCCCAGCCTGCTTGCTGGAAATGCTCTTAGTGCGAGTGAAAAAGACTCACACCACTGAAGTAACAAACACTCTTGTGCTTTTTTATGAATACAATAATCAGTATATTTATTTGCTTTCTAGTTATTTTAAAATATAATAAAAAGTAAGGGTGACATTTTAGACCGAAAAATTGAAAAACCGCAAAAACCAATCGACATTATACTTCATTGGAATCACAATACCTAAAAACCGACCAAAAATTGTGGTTTTAGAAACACAACCGCAATTGCGGTTGCGGTTGCGGTTGCGGTATTTGATTTTGGCAACTCACGGTTACCGCAAACCGCAAATATGTTTTTTTAAAAATTGTATTTTAGTAGTTAGATGTTGTGTTTTAATTTGGTTGAGTTTAATCTATTATTAATATGTTTTTATGTTGTTGCTTTTGTGTTGTGTTGTTTTATAGATGAAGTCTAGCCACTCTAACACACATAATGTCTCTAATCCCCCAAACACAACCTCTACTCCAACTCATAAAGAAGGGCTTCTTCTTATAATAAAATTCACTCACCACCACCTACACTTGAGTTCTCATTTTGGTTTGTAACTTTAATTAACTTTGAATTTGATTTTTCTTTAGGTTGTGAATGCTTGAGAAGTTGAGGTTGAGATTGTGAATTTATATATGCTTGAGAAGTTGAGGTTGTGAATTTATTTCTTTAGGTTGTAAATTTATATATGCTTGTGAAGTTGAGGTTGTGAATTTATATTTTTGGGTTAAAGTATGCTTGAACTCAAAAAGCTTCAAAAGGAGCATCAAACCTAGGCTTAAAAGTGTGGAAGATTGAATTTTTATGATACAAAAAGACCAGAGTTAAAGATATAAAATTGTCTAATTTAGGCCCAAAATATTCAAATCAGTTTAAACCGTTAATTCACGGTAACCGACCAATTTTTGCGGTTTCAAAAATCACCTTACCACAATAGTCGGTCGGTTTGCGGTTCGGGGAAAAATTCGCCGTTACCGAACCGCAACCACCCCTAATAAAAAGTACCCCAACACATCTTCGTCTTTTATGCCTTTTTCTCCTTTTAACTTATCTAGGGGTGTGAATTGAATTTGAAAATTTGATTCCGACCTTAAATAATATAGAAAATAAATCCAAACTACTATAAGAAATAAATTTCAATTATAATAGGACTAAATGAATAGGTAAGAAATCAAAATCTTAACATAATAAGGAATCAAAATTCTAACTAAATAAGGACTTGTCAACATGTGCCCTCCAGGCTCGAGAGAGTAAACTGTATTGAAGCTATGGCCTTTATTTTATGGAAAAGAAAAAAACCCAGTCAATTGATTTGATATATAAATATGAAGTTTCCCAGCAATCGCTTGAACAAACTGGAAGATTTGTTGTATACTTGGATCATGAATAAATTCTAAAAAGCTTCTCCAGAATCCCAATCCCATCCCATGTGCTGATATGCTTTTGCTTTCATTTTTCTCACGCCAATTGTAGCTATAATTTCAAACCCATTCAACCTATAATTTAACAAGCACTTGGTTTGTCTTATTTAATTGTCAGTTTCAGGTCATGCATATCTCAACCATCTGGAAAAAAATAAAATGAAATAAAAAAGCGGACAGACAATATACAATTAATTATATATAATACAAGATGATTAAACAACGGGCTAATTTAATTGTGCATGCATATATCCACTTTCTTTTTCTGCAATATGCTCGTGCATGTCACGTGCTCTGTGCACTTTCATGTTAGCAGAACAGATCGCCACTTCCTTCATCTTTTATTCATTTTATTGCGCACTTTATTAGTCATTGGGGAGAATTTAGCTTCATGTCGTTTTGCCTATAATGTTGCTTCCTGTCTTAACGTTTTGTGGTTTGGTTCTAGTTGATTCTTTCAAGTTTCAAGACCAAAACATTGGATGGGATCGGATTATGCGTCACTTAAAATACATATGAGGAGCATATGTGAGTTAGGAAGTTGATTAAGACAATGCATCCGTCCTCTTGTACACGAGTTCGATTTCCGTTTTTGTACATTTAAAGTTGTTAGAATATCTGGTTGTCCAGAAAACAAATGGATAGGGAATATACCATTCGTTAAGACCATAATTTGTACCCGTGATATGCTAAATCTCCAAAAGCTTTAAGTAAAAGTTAATCAAAGACCAAACTTATAATAATCACATATCTATATTAATACTTGTCGACTAAACTTTTACACACTTGTCACCGAAGCAATGCACTTACTTTGCTATACAAACATCACTGCATTTCGTCATGCTGCAAAATATTTAAGGCCCGTTTGATAACCATTTCAATTTTATTTTTTATTTTTTTTGCTAGAGTATAGAGGAAAAAAAGAGAATGAAAGTGAGAATGAGAGTGGATATGGGATTATTGAGAGGGAAAATGAGAGAGAGGATGAGAGGGAATAGTAAAAAAGTAAAACATAGCTTGCTAATCATAGGTGGAGAATTCTTTTCATGGAAATTGATTGTCACTCAAATTACTTTTCCTTCTCTCTTTTACAAATCTGCAGCTGAGATGAATCATTGCTTGCTTGCACTATCCTTTTCGTGTTTGGTGTAAAAATCTTTTTTTTATAAAAAAAAAGTGGCAAAAGCATCTCCATATATTCAAGTTAGGTTCATGTCACTTACAGTTTACAATTAGGGTTCAAGTCTTATCCACCTCTTCACGGCTCTAATAAACTACACAACTTTTAGAAAAAGCCCAGCACTGCTATAGAAAAATTTAGGTGCCCCTATCGCTCAACAAAGAGTATAATTCCGTGCCCCACCCTCCAAAAATATATATTTCTTATATATAGCTAGGGCTATATATCAACCTTGAAGCCCCCAAGTCAATGAATGGTGGATCTCTCTCTCTCTCTCTCTCTCTCTCTCTCTCTCTCTCTCTCAAAAAGTGGGTATGATAAAGTTTTCTTATAAGTTGGGTGCAAGCATTGACATATAGGAGTTGTTACTTCATTAAGGCAAAGGCATCATGCCGCCGAAAACAGGTAAAATCAGACTTGTGACTGTGACTGTGTGAGTGAGGCATAGTGAAAGAGCAGAAGAAAAGGTAGGGAAACAAAAGCAGCTGTATGAAGCTGTAAACCATATAAATAATTGCACAAGAGGCAGACAATCTGTTTGGTTGGGTCATATCCAATTGTCATATTAATATACATGAGTTACATGTGGTGCCCATGTGGCCCACCCCAATACATGCGATATTGAAATACATTATAATCCTTTTATTTCATCAATAAAATGAAGATAAAAAGACTTTGTATTCTTGACAACTGTAGTTAATCATTCATAATTACATGCTGAATCAATCGTTAATTACATGTTAACACACGTGATGCTGCGGTTTCCCCTGCCTGAGCTTAGACCAAGATGAAGGCCGGTTGAGATCATCAAATTCCATGGAAATGTGTTGACTCATAATCGCAAGGAAGTCAACATAATTAAACTACTACGATCCCACTAATTAGAAAATTATAAAAAAGAATGATATTGGAGATACAAAATGTTTTGTAAAACTATGGGACTTACAATTCGAGGGGTAGAAATCATATTCAATATATCTTGGGCCCGTTTATAGAAAGAGTTTTCAAACTGTCGTTTTTTTATTCAACAATTGTCGTTATCTTTATGTGAAAAAATGCACATACATCAAATAAAGAAGATTACACCAAGGAAGTAATAGAGGTATATATTTTTATCTGTTAGGAAATATTATTTTGGTAACCTTTTCATGAAAGGGATAGACATAGATAACATTTTACTACTACGAAAAAATATTTATTTGTCACTAAAGTAATAGAAAATGCTAATAAGTATTTATCTTAAAACTAAAACTAAAAAGACGAATATGGTAAGCCAGATCCTAGCAATGCGTAATTAGCAATTCATATTTCAAAGGAAGAATATTTTGTAGAAAAGATGAATCTTGTAAACAGGAAAGAGAGAGCGACAACCAGAGGACACGAAACAAAAACAGAGGAACAGAGGAAGTAAATTAGTTAGTGATTAATTAAAAAGAATCTGTGAATCCGGATTTTTATGAAGGAAGGAGACAGACGTGAAAGTAAGTTAATGACAAGTATATTGA